CCCCCCCCTCCACTCTCCTGCTCTCACTGTAACTGTAAACACACATTAACACCTTTCTCACTGTTTGCCATCAGATCTTATTGACTGTAACCCACCGCCTGCTCCTTATGAACATTTTCTCCCCCCCTCCCTCCCCCACTCTCCCTCTGCCCCTCTCCCCCACCCCCTGCCGCTCTGGTGTTTCCACCAACCAGGCCGTGAGTCGTCCCTTCCTCTTTTTCTTGCATCTAAAGCCCCAACTCCTATACACCCCCAACCTTCTGCTTCCTAACACACACTCACACACACACTCACACACACTTACCTACTGCAGGTCCTCTACAGCTGTGGTCCCTGCTCATGTGTCCACGTCACGTCCTCTCTTCTCATCGTTCTCATGTTTTTAACCTCGATGTGTCCTAACACGCAGCAAACGGCGTTTTTACGTCGACTCTCGGGCCGAGAAGTGAAGGTTTTTAACTGAACCTCAGGCTGTGAGGCGTTACCATGGCTACGGTATTTGGGAACGATTTGGAATAATTTAGTCCTTATTTGGCACCTGCTAGCGCCCCGTTCAACGTCCTCTAATTCTGTCCTAACTGTTCGTCTTCATCGTACGGAGGTCGTGTCGTCAAAATCAGACGCTAATTTGATTCAAGCTCGTTTGGTGATTTACGTTGACTCTCGTGGTTTGGTTTCAGTCATGGATTCTGGAGACTGTTGTTTTAGACATGACATTTTCAATTGTTCATAGGTGAAACCACATGGGGGCGCTGTGACACTACAGGTTTGTAGTTTGTCTGTGAAGATTTGTATCGGTTCGTGCAAATATTTAATCTCTCTTTTCTTTTGTTCTTTTGAAACTTTCCAAATTAAATTTCTTGTTTTTGGCTCACGACGTCGGTTGTAGTTTCATAGAGAAAGTTTTTTATTTTGTTTCAGTAAACTGCTATGTTTAGATCCCGTCCCAGGCGTTCACTGGAGACTCACTGGAACAAAAGTCAGAGTTGGATGTGAACATTTGTACTAATCAATAATCAAATATGAAGATTAAGGTCCACGGCGTTCGACCGTCACCGATGATTTTTATTTTCTCTGCTGTGTGTTAGGAAGTGTCACCCATCACATCCCACCACTGCCAGACCCTCCCCCGCCCCCCCCGTCCCATCGCCCACCTCATTCTCCAACCGTACAGCGCCGTCAGTCCGTGGGGGTGAGGGCACCCAGACACCTTTAACCCTTTATTTGCCCAGGCTATCTGACCACCACAGGGGAGGAGCCTGACCAGGGCTCGTGGCCACGCCCCCTGTCTTTTTGTTTCTCCTTTTACACACACAGACACAGGCTGTACACGACCACAAACACACACACACACACACACACACACACACACACACACACTCTCCCAAAGCCCTAAAGTCGCCCCAGGAGCAGGTAATTGAACTCTCCTCCCTCTGCACTGCCAGGGAAAAGCAGATTGAACGTGGGAGGAACAGAGCGAGGCATGCTGCGGGAGGGTGTGGTGGTTGGAATGATTTCTTATTATGCTGAGCTGGTTTATACATATAAATTAAATATGTATGATACTGTGATAAATGCACCTGAGCAGGACTGAGTGATCTGTGTGTGTGTGTGTGTGTGTGTGTGTGTGTGTGTGTGTGCATCCTCCTCAGCTCCGTGGACACCCGTCTGTCAGGAGACCAGCTGAGAGTGATAGGGATGTTTTCATGTATTCAAACGGTGTAATGTGTACTACGTCCTGTTGGCGGTGCTATGCTAAGGTTCAGGCTGAACTCCAGCTGCTGGACTGGACTGATAAACAAGATATTTGGTTCTAATTGATGATAATATTTCAGTAATTAATTGAGTTGTTTAAATACAGCAAAAAAAATTGAAAATAGAAATATATTGACTCCTGACGTCAAGTGATAATAAATATATAAATAAAGAGCGAAAAGGAAAATGCACACAGTGGTTTGGAACACGCAGCGCTCAGGTGAGGAGACAGGTGATGTAGATTTGAAGTGAAGTGTTACTTTGTTTGTTTGTTTGTTTGTTTTTTTGTCTCTCACACACCTGTTACAGTATCGTTCGTATCAGTTACTGCTGAAGAATCTAACAATAGTAATGACATCATCGTAGAGTGAACATGTAACGAACGCATCGTTAAAACTGAGGCGTTCAGGAGTAGATCCAACAGTCATTGGTCAGACCTGACCTACAGATGTTGGTTGTGGCCCACTATTAAACCAAGTCCCCTTCAGGACCCTGGTCAGACTATTAAACCAAGTCCCCTTCAGGACCCCGCGCGGGGCCTCAGTGGCGTTCAGGTGTTGTTTCTGGTTGGACAGTCGGTTGACGTTAAACCAAAGTAAGATTTCACTTCAATGACGTTGATGTGTGGGATATAAAACACTGATACATCACCTGGCTGATGAGTTTGTTACAGGAAGTTAAAATCACTCCACTGCTGCTCCCTCCACAGCATGACGCCTCCCCTCCCCACTCACCCACTCACCCACCGCCCCCTGCTGTTCAAAGAGTGATGTCCTCAGAGGCTCTCTCCTCCTTTGCCCTCCTCTCTCTCCGTCCATCCTCTACCTTTGACTTCACAATTCTGGAGTGACATCAGATATGGAGCCGACGCTCCTACCATCACCTCCTTCTCTCCTTGTCTCCTCCCGTACCTCCTCTGTCCCCCCTCACGCTCCAGGGCCTGGGCTGTAGTTAGTGTTGCTTTTAGGGCCATCACACCTTCACACCAAACTTCCCTGGGTGGCATGACGTTGTTTAAAAGCAGGTGCGTGGTGACCATTGTACGGAGGGTTTCTGGCATGGTGACGCTGACCGGTGCAATGGCTTCACCCTTTGATGGGTTTTTAAACACCACACGTTTGTGCTTCCGGCTCCCTTTATCTCACTGATAAACACTGAATGAGCCGCGGCGACTGTGAACCGCATGCAGGCGCAGCGCTGTGTGTGTGTGTATGAGACGATACACACAAACACTGGTTTCTTAAAGCTGTCAGTCTTGCCTGAGTGTCTGGACATGTCCCCCCCCCCCACATGTCCAAACAGAACCTGGAACCAGGTTGTTGTTGTCGTGGGTTTTGGCAGATGTGCATGTGAAAGAGCTTTGATGAAAATCCCACTAGATGATTGCACATCTACTGCGGGCGGTTTGTGCCGTCGGCCTGGTTTAGTCCAGGACTGTGATAGGATAAGAGTTAACGTAGATGAGGACGCGGCAAATCCAGTTCCCTCTTCTGACCGTGAAGGGAATTCTACTTTAAGGTGAGCCACGGCAGGAGACGTGCGTCCGCGATCGGAAGGAAGGTTTGCATGACCTGACCCTTCAGCCAGAGGGCGCTGTTGTTTTGTTAGATATCAGTTAATCAGATCAGTTATTTCCAGAAATGTTGACGTTACTTTTGTACTTCTGTGGAAACTACAGTATTGACCTGTGCATTTTAAAAACATTACCAGGCTGAAGTCCTCTGGGAACGTTACAGGTTTATTATTTATTTTGTGGAAAATTTGAATTGAAGTGGGAAATAATTTACAGTAGACCTGTTTACTCTGTAGATGAAGTTTTGCAGCTTGAGTTTTTTTTCAGGACCACAAAAGTTTTAGGCAGTTTTGGGCAAAGTTTTGCTCAAAATACATGATGAACACAAAGGAACAGCCTCAGTTCCTGTCCGTGGATGCGTCACTGGTACTTTACTTAAAGGAACAGTCCTCTGTACCAGTGGAAACCAGTTGGGAGATGACCAGCTACACCGTGTTACAAACAAATATAAATCTATATTCTAATAGAATTTATGACGATGTTTAGACAAAATGAAGCTTGATTTATTCCTTCATTATTTTAGGTGGCGTCTCACCTGCCTAGAACTTTTGTGCAGTACTGTCCTGGAGTGTAGGAAAATGATGGGAATTCTTTTTCTTCTAAATATGGTGGAGGATGTTGTGTCCATCTTACTGTCCCTCTTCCTGTCTGTCTCTCATATGGATGTATTTTCTTTCCCTGTTTCTGCCAAATCTCTCTCTGTCGCTCTGTCTTTTTCTCTCTCTCTGTCTGTCTGTGTCTGTCTCATGTCTGTGTTTGTTTTCTTTCCCCTATCAATGTGTGTCTATGTGTCTTCCCGTGTCTCTCTCTCTCTCTGCACCTTCTTCTTCCTCCTCTTCCTCTGTCTTCTGCCTCTTCTCGGCTGTTACTGACTCTCGCTGTCTCCACCTTCGGTGAAACTGAACAGGACCAGCACCCGGTAAAGTTCTTCCTGTGTCCTTCCCCTCCTCCTCCTCCTCCTCCTCCTCCTCCTCCGCTCTGTCCCGTGCTCTTCATCACCAGATCACCGAAATTAGCTTCTCTCTCTTTCTTTCTTTGTTCTTCCGTCTTCCGACCGTCCTCATTTGCGCCGTCTGTCGCTGTTTTCTCCTCAGCGAGCATAAACCACTGGATCGTTCACGTATTACTCACAAGTTAAAACATTTCACGCCCACTTACGATATGATTCTATCACCACCACGGTGACACTCCAGCTCGAACTTTATCACTCTGTCTTCAGCTACCTGCTTTGAGGAAAAAAGTTTTAGACAACGGCGCAGTTGCTTGAGGTCGCGGAGTTCTGTGAGAAGAACAGTTGGTGGAACATCATTAACCATGTTGTCCTAGATGTTTCCAGTGCAGTCCCTGTGTTACAAAGCAAAACACTCTGACATCATTGGTTTAAAATCCTCAAAATGTCATGACAAGTACAATGCAACCTGAATATTCAAGAAAGCAGGAACATTTCAGTTCAGTCTTTATCATCAGTTTTTTTGTAGTACTACAGGTTAATAACAGAACACAGGTTGGTGGTAAATAATTTGACCTTGTGAGAAGTTTACTCTACACACCGGCGCACTCGCAATTAAAAGAGTTAAAAGAAGTACTTTTTTTTTTCCAGTCATCAGGAGGGAAGTTATTGATAATCTAATGAGTCTCAGCCATGTACACACATATACAAATACACACCAATACAAGTACAAATACACGTAAAACTGCTGAGGCTGCCACCAAACTCAAGAAGCCTTAAACTCAACTGCCTTAACTTTTTTTGGTCAGAGTGAGAGAGAGCTCTGATTGGCTGCTGGTTTGCCCCTCAGGCAGCCAACCATGTTCTTCCTCACTGTAAACATCGACTGCGTTGTTTACTTCTTTCACGCCACAGTTTCCTCCACGCTGAAACAGTTTTCACAGGTGACAAACGTCACCAAAACATGCCGATGGAGTTTGTCCTGCAACAGTTGTGATGTCATATCCTGTTACGTAGCCTCACTGACCGCAGTCCTGTCTGGAAAACTGCAGTAACTATTTGTAACTTCACACCCGCTCCAGGGTTTGGGATTCTTGGAGCAGAGTGATACTGAGGTACTTAGACACACTAACACACACACACACACACACACACTTGGTTACACACAGATCATGTGATTGGAGTAAAAGAAATACATTCGTTTTTTAAGAAGCATCATCAACACAGATTTCTTTTCTCTGAAAGAACTGAGAATGTTTCTTGTGATTTATGGAACTTTTCTCTGGGAGATCAGAGCAAATGTCTCTGTTGTTGGGGGACGTGTGTCAACGCTAAGCTAACAATAATATATAAAAAAAAATCAACACATTTTCTTTCATACCTGCTAGAGTTCTCGCTAGGTGGCCTTGGCAGATCTCATGTAGTTTGAACACAGCCACCAGGGGGAGCATTTCCAATTCAATCCCATATTAGTATCAAACTGATTCCATATAAGTACCTCATATGACCTGACCTAAATAATCCTAACAACGATATCCCAACCCTGTGATACTCGAACCTCGCGCGTCATGTTTGTTTGTTTTTTTTTTTGTTTGTTTGTTTTTTTTCCCATCGCTTCTGAAGAACCCACCAGTGTGTCACTGAAAAAGAAAGAAAGAGGTTTGGCTGGGCATTCTGCCGGGAGATGCCTGTCATTCCTATGGAATGAGTGCTGTGTTGTGGAACAAAGATGGAGGTTAGAATTGATGAGGGTAGTGATGAGAGACGGCTGCTGCTTCTTGACGTCCATGAAACCAAACGGTCAGCGAACCCACCGTTGACCCTCCTCATCTGGTTTCATGTCTGACAAACCTTTGATTTATTTATTTTTTTCTGCAAACTAAGAGAATGTGAAGCTTTGACTCCTCGATGTCTTTGTTTTCTGGTCAGGTTATGGCAGGTTGTCTAGTCTCTGTAGACATTGGGTTGTGTAAGAGCCCAATGTAACTGTTGTCATGTCAGCAATGGGTGATGTTCTAATGTTTTTCCATGGCTGACCTCTAGGGGGAGCAGCAAGGGCAAAGACATCAGTACAATCAAGTCCCTTCGAGTACTAAGGGTACTGCGGCCTCTCAAGACCATCAAGCGACTCCCCAAGTTAAAGGTACGACTGTTGGCCCATGAAATGTGACCCATGAAATGTGACCCATAAAATGTGACCCACAGTTGAGCAGTTTCTTTTTTCTAATTCACCTGACAGGCCGTGTTCGACTGTGTGGTCAACTCTCTGAAGAACGTCCTGAACATCCTCATCGTCTACATGCTCTTCATGTTCATCTTTGCTGTCGTTGCCGTGCAGCTGTTCAAGGGACGCTTCTTCTACTGCACCGACGAGTCCAAGGAGTTTGAGCGTGACTGCAGGTCTGACCTCACACTGGGGGGGGAAAAAAAATTAATGAATGAAGTTCCTTCAGTTCAATATATACTTTTTTCTAATATTACTTTTTAAAAATATTTTTATACTGGTGTCATAGATTTACAGTAAACTCTAGTGTGTCTAAGAAATACTTTAAATTTGGTTAAATTTACAGTATAACAACAATGTGGTGTAAAAATGGTGAGGATTGGCAGCGGTGGAGATGCTGCCACCTACAGGAGTTGAAGTGAAACAGCAGAGTTGTTAATATTTTGGTGTTTGGTGTGTGTTCCTCTCAGGGGCGAGTACTTGGTGTATGATAAAGACGAGGTTAAAGCTCAGAAGCGGGAGTGGAAGAAGTACGATTTCCACTACGACAACGTGGCTTGGGCCCTGCTCACCCTCTTCACTGTGTCGACAGGAGAGGGGTGGCCGCAGTAAGTACTGCACAACTCACACACACACACACACTCACACACACACAGACAGACAGACAACTGACAAAGGCCCGGGGTGGATGAACTCTGCTTCAAATACAAATGTGTGGGTTTTTTTTAAAAAGGAAATAAACAAAATATTACAATTTTTTTAAACAAATACAAATTACAAATGTATTTCTGAGTTTGAAAATAATCCAAGTTACTAGTCTTGGATTGGAACATTTTAATGTTCATATTGTGGGAGTAGTCGGGAATTCTGGAATCACTGCACAATTGTTGATGTGGTTTGTCGTGCAGTCCAGCTGTTTGTCCACTAATGTCGTCCACACAGACACGTTTATAAAACAATATTACAAACTGACCTCTGACCTCCGTCCTGTCCTTCCACAGGGTGTTAAAGCACTCAGTGGACTCCACCTATGAGAATCAGGGCCCTAGCCCGGGTTACAGGATGGAAATGTCCATCTTTTACGTGGTGTACTTCGTTGTCTTCCCCTTCTTCTTCGTAAACATCTTCGTGGCTCTGATCATCATCACCTTCCAAGAACAGGGGGACAAGATGATGGAAGACTACAGCTTAGAAAAGAACGAGGTGAGTTTCCTGTGACGTGTCGTTGGTCTGCAATAACACACACGTGCACTGACACTCATTCTGTCTCCATCCCACAGAGAGCCTGCATAGATTTCGCCATCAACGCCCGACCTCTGACTCGCCACATGCCGAAGAACAAGCTAAGCTTTCAGTATCGAATGTGGCAGTTTGTCGTTTCTCCGCCCTTCGAGTACAGCATCATGGCTCTGATCGCGCTCAACACCATCGTCCTCATGATGAAGGTACGTGATGAAACGTGTCCTCCGCCTTTAACCCAAACAATGACTAAGAGGTCAGAGGTCACAACCTCTGTGACACAAAAATGTATTTTACTCCAAATTTTCAACTGAAATTACAAAGGTTTCTGCAGCATCCACTGCTACAAGTCTTACAATGACAAGGCCCCCTTGTGGCTGCAGGTGTAAAATGCTTTATATTAAAACAACACATCCGTGTGTCTGTGGTTCTTTTTTTTTCTCCAGTTTGATGGTGCATCAGAAACCTACGATGACGTCCTGAAGTACCTCAACATCGTTTTCACAACTTTCTTCTTCATGGAATCAATCTTGAAGATCATCGCTTTTGGTCCTCTGGTAAGAGTTGAATATTCTCCAACTGGACCAGGGGGCTCCTGGTCCTGGTCCTGGTCCTGGTCCTGACCCTGGTTCAGGTTTCATCCCGTGGATTCAAATCTGCGAGGATTCACTCTGTGTCTCTTCTTTCTCTTTCTCGTGACAGAACTACTTCAGAGACGCCTGGAACATTTTTGATTTTGTCTCCGTCCTTGGAAGCATCACAGACATATTAGTGACAGAGTTAGGGGTAAGTGCTGCTGCACCACGTGGCTTTGGATTATTATCATCTTTAACAGAGTTTGTTTGGTTCAGTCAGAAGACATTGAGAGCAGTGACAGCAGGTTTGGTCCAAAATAAATATGTGAATAATTCTCCAAACTTCATCCTAGACTTTCCTGCTAAAGGCCACAGATATTTACCACCCGGGAAAGTCACCATAATTCACGGGGGCAAAACCTGGTCACCGTAGCATAAACGCTGTCATGTTTATCCTGCTGCTAAATGTTCTGTTTGGTCAGTGTGTGTCTTTAGGGAAGTGTGTTTTAAACAGAGTTCATCAGCGGTGACTTCAGTGCCTCTCTGTTGTGTTGTGTTCCTCTGCGCTCTTCACTCTTGATTTGACTTCATTTTTATTTAGTTTTAGATGGTGATAAAAGTGTCCAAAATATTTGTGGTAATTCACCACTTTAACAGAGAGTCACAGATCTGAAGCGCTGAAAGAGTTAAAAATAAATAGGTCAAAAACGATGCTGTTGTTTCATTACCAATATTATGTACTCAAACAAAGTGTTCTTTCTTAAATACTCACAGAGATGCTTTTTGAAGTCTGTGGCTCTTTCACACTGACGGCCTAAACTTCTGCTAATGCTAACCTGATTACTGCACTAATTACTGCATCGTCACATGGTTAAAAACGGCCTCTCGCTGAGTTGAGTGCTGGCGACGTTAAACGGCATCAGTTTGTTGATTCGACCCGACGTCAGATTGATTATCTGTCAGTTAGCTGCTGCTAATCTGGGCATCTCTCCCCTTCGACGTGGTGACCTGGATCCAGATCACTGTTGAAACCAGTTCTTAGAATTATTCTGATCTTCCTGAAAAAAACTTTATCTACAGCTGCAGCGATACAAGAACGGCTGGTAAAAAAAGAAAAAGAAAAAAAGAAAACAAAAATGGTTACATTACCCATAATCCTAGAAGAAAATAAATTTCAGCCTCACCATGTAGAGTTGGTGCGCCCTCTTGTGGCCAAGGGATGGGGTGAGCTACTTCAGGGGAGTAAAAAGGATGTAGAGAATGTAGTTTATCATTGATTTGGGATGGGGTGGGGGGGCAGCAGAGAGGCACTGAACAGAATCCACACAGACTGTTGTTTTTAGATGATGATGATGATGATGAAGATGATGATGATGATGATGTTCAAACTGTGTTTCACTGTGAAACCCCCATAATGATTCCGTCTTCCTCTTCTATCTCTTTACATGCTTTCTTTAAACCTCTCTACTTTGTTACCCCCCTGCCCCACTCACCCCCCCCTTCTTCTTTCTCCTCCTCTTCCTCCTGTGATAAAAATCCATCCAATCAAAATGCACTATGAAATCCTTCATCGTGTCCTCCTCCTCCATCCGTGCTGCGCCATGACATGTGGTGGTGGTGCTGTGGTGATGATGATGATGATGACTATATGATGGTGATGGTGTGCGTTTCAAACCTCACCCCTTCACCCCCTTCCAAAAAAAAAAAAAAAACTCTCGCAATTGGTTGTAAAATTAAAAAAAACAAACAAAAAAAAATCAAATCCTGTCCATTCATCTTTCTACATCTTCGCACATGTAGAATCTGGTTGGTTTGTAATTTATCTCTCAGCTTTCTGCTGCATCCTCATTGCTCATGTGTACGCCTGCCCCCCCAAACCCTCCAAACCCCCCCCCCGCATTCTCTTCGCCGCCACTACGTCCATGAACGA